AGTCAAATTTGCTCTCTTTCTTTCTCTCTCTCTCTTTTCTCTCTCTCCCTCTCGTTTAGTAGTCAAATTAGTACTTCGTCGTTATATGCTCGGATAGTCCAGTTTCAGAAAAAGTTGTGTTGGAGGCATTTTTAAATTTAAGAAAAAGAGTAGTTGGAGGTATTTTTATATTAAGCCCTTTTATTCCAAGATGGATCCCTTTTTATTTTTGACGCAACGAACAAGAGGGATTCTGAATTAAAGTTTTGGCCATGTGAACAGAATGATCCATGTAAAGTGATTTTACATATGGAGGATGGAAAAGGGATTCGCCAGTTAAATGAACACACCCATGAAGCATATGCTGTAAAAATAGAGGTTGAAAAGATAAAAACAAAAAAAGGTTTGCTCTTTCCATCTAACCCCAAACATGCAGAGACATCTTGTTTCATTGGGTTTATCAAATCTCTATAAAATGATTCCATTAGCGTTTTAATGGGATCCTTAATTCCCTAAATGAATAAAAAGTCATATTGAAAGTTGGGAGATTTCAATGCTTTTATCCTTTTATTTGGGGTTGCCTCCAGGTCAAAGACAGTGACGTCGAAAAAGTCTGATGCCTAAACGGCTGTTTCAAAGAGTTCAATTATTTTTCTGATGACGAATCAGCCACGCTGAATCTGCCAAGCCAAATAGGCTATGCCAAATAGGCTATACCAAACATGCCAAACTAAAAAAAAAGCAGTGGAAATGTGTGAAACGCATGGATATATATATATATTTTATATATTTAGATATAATCTTTGACAAATTTAAATGATATTCATATTAGAAATTTACTATGAAATGCTTTTTGACTAATAATTTGTTTCTAGCTAATTTTATATCAATCTTTCTACTTATTTAAATCTATAAATGTTGAAGATGGGTTGTGTGCGTAATTTTTTTTTTAAATGTAACATCGCATTTTCATGAATTACTTTGTAATCAGAGATATAAACTCTGTCATTATCAATTAAATAATCAGGAGTTACTGATTAAATGAAAGACCAGGAAAAGCGACTACGGAAGTAACAAGTAATTCTTAAAGAAATGTCAACAGGCAAAAACACTTATAAAAAAATTAGGAAAATAAACTGAAATTCATTGAGCACATTATTAGGAAGGATGTTTAGGAAAATATAACCCTCATGAAGCATATTGAAGGCAAGAGAGATAGAAGGTAGCGAGTTACCTACCTGGCGAATGTGAATGGTTAACAGAACAGGAGACAGGCGATTTAGCAAAGGGAAAATGCAACTAGAGGTCAAAAATGATAGGAAGTTTTAGGGAGTGACGACCATCTGTGTCATGAAGCGTTGCAGAACATCCTAAGAGTAAGATTATTATTGTAATCATAAAACAAAGAAGTTGACTGAATGTATATTTAAGTATAACGTGCAAACGCTCTGAATTTATTTTCCCTCGATAAAGTATTGAATTTTTAATGTGAAAACGATAAAAAGTGCTGGGTGTTAGTTTTAACGAGTCATGCTTGTTCATTTTAGATACAATTCAATCCTGACATTTGAACTATTAACAAATGTTTTCCGTAGACCCTCATTCAATATACATACATATCGAAATCGATTCGAAGAGTAGGCCTCTATAGATTCATTTATGCTGCAGTGAGATCGACGTAGCAGCTATACAATTTTCTACTGGATTGCTATTACATTTCCTGGAGTTGTTTAATAACATATATGGTATTATTACAACACTTACTAGAACGAAAAACAAACTGCGTTGTGAGAAAATGGCGATAATGTGATGTTTCCTGTTACCATACATTGTTTCTTTCTATATGCAGATGTTTAAATACAGGAGAAATCACAAATTAATTCGAAAGACACCGCAGCTTATCACTGTGTAAATAATTCAAAGGATCATTTGTAGCTGAACCCACCCAGTCAATCCCAAATTTCTAGTTTGTTGTGAAACAGAGCTGTTAAGTCACTCATTACCGAGTAGTAGAGTAAATTGCACGTGTTCATGCTTTACTCTTGGCAGAAATTTGACGAAGGCATTATGAAGCAGTGCATTACTATCAAGCTTCGATCAATGTCAGTGAAAACTTCGCCGATTAGTAATGGCTTATTATGAATATATTATTTAAAAAGCGAGTTTTGAGCGTCATAAGCTCTCCAGGAAAAGCCATCATAATGCAACCAGTTAATCTAATTATTTTAGCTTTTTTTCTTTTTAAATATCGCCTAAAAATGTACATAAGTTTTTTGCTTCTAAACTGAATTCAGAATTTAGCATTTCAAGAATAATTACAAAAAAAATCCTAGTAAAAAACTAAAATTAATTATTTACTACACTAAATCTACTATATCAAACAAAATCATATATAGTTAGAAAGGACAAGGTTAGCACTAATAGTTTTTTTTACAACTATTTCGTAAAATCTCCTCACACCCATACTCTTCTTAAATAGTGTCAGCGATCACGAACTGTCTCAGCATTCCTCACTCCACCTGTAGGAAATTTAACTTTCAGAGGGACACAGTAATTTTGACTTCGACAATAATAAACATTACAATATTTATCTTGCAATAAACAAGGCACTAATGATAACATTGTGCAATGTCTAAAGTACTCGGAATAAAAGAAATATGTATCAATGCGGGGATTTTTCTCTTCCTTCAATAACGAGACCAAAAAGATTGTCCGTGAACATGAAATGATGCAACTGAAAATAAGTGGACAAAACCTGTCTAAATTATTCAACAAAACATGTCTCAATGAAAACATGATACCAAAATATACTCGGCTCTCCCGTCGAATTCGGCGTATGAGGGCCAAGCAGATCAGTTCTAAGAAACCGACAACCCGACAACAGCACATGAGACTTGATTATAGTGGTGATGGTTTCGTGCACGACCATCCACACTTTTTGAAGGACCGAAAACAGAGACCTGATGCACTACGTGCCAGAGGGTCCTGAAACGACCCTACGCATATATATATATATATATATATATATATATATATATATATATATATATATATATTATTCTTATGGCAATGCTACTCGAATTCGAGGATACCGGTCTACGAGGGCGGTTAGATAATCCCCATTGCAGACGCTAGAGAGAGAGAGAGAGAGAGAGAGAGAGATAAATAGATAGATAGATAGATCAAGAAATGGATCAAATCCGACAATTATTTAATATATTTCTATTTACATGTTATTTTTATAGATACACTTTATTTAAGTTAACGCTCTGTTTCTAATTGAATATTATTGATTACATTTTGCGCTCTGAATGTTCGAGGAAATTAGTAGAAAATAAGCGTCCTCATATATATATATATATATATATATATATATATATATATATATATGAGAAAGCATATTTGTACAAAAATTTCTTTCTAATATATAAATTTCTTTCTTATATATATCTATATCTATCTATATGTATCTATCTATCTACCACTCTCTTTCGCTATATATATATATATATATATATATATATATATATATATATATATATATATATATATGTATTTCTGCGTGTGTGTATGCATGTGTATTTTTGTGTATTTGTGTTTTAAACTATCATGGTTTTATGTATCACTTACCTTGAATATATTCTCCGAGATGGAAAGACGGGAATGCCAACCTGTCATTATTTTATTAGTACCCAAATAATTTCCTTTAAAAATGTTCGTTTAAGATGTTCATTTAATTTCTAAATATGCGAACAGAACGAATAAAATCGGATTCTGATGTGACAAAAATTATTCTCTCGATAATAAATTTCGGTATATTTCTCAATTCTGACTGAAATTATTCTAGAAACCTGCCGCTGGAAGTAAGAAATTGTTGTACCCTGCAAAATGTTTTAGCCAGTGTGTGACGTGATACAAGCATATACATCAACTTTGTGAATGCTGAAAACCAACTTGGAATTGCTGACAGACAACACGCCCAAGGTTCTCTGAATATTTACTTGCAAAATTGCAATGGCGGAGAGGTTGGGAGAGATGAGTGTCAAGTGGAACGGAGGTCAAAGAAACCCGCTTGTGGAAAGGAAATTGAGGGAAAGAGAAGTTGACCATAACTGTTACAAAATCTTTCAGGATCCTACAAATGGCCCGGCGGGTCTTCATTTGCATCTAGTGTGTGACGTACTCGCTTTAGATCTGCAAGCTACGAACGCGTTAATTAGATTTGATTCGCACGCTACCTTGAGGCGGCATTCTGTAGAGGACGTCAATTAAGAAAAGTTCCGAATTCTTTATCTTTTGCTACTGTTCTCATTCTTTTCGACGTTGGTATCCATAGCCGCTAGACTCGTTTACAATATTTCTCTTTATCTATATCTATAATTCTCAAAATGTGTGTGTATGTATGTATGATCGGATGTTTTTGGTCGTTTCCACAATTTTCATCCGATTTCCATGAAATATTATTTGTTTCATAGATAATTCTTCAGTGCTGGTTTTGTGTCAAAATTACAATCTTGAAAAATAGAAGAAAAAAAAATGATTTTTTTAATATTTTGCGCAACAATCAATGCAAAATTTAATGTCACTAAAAAACAGCGTTCAGATAATTTAGAGATTTGAAATCTAACGCAAAAGATTTTTAGAATTATAAAACAAAATTATATTCTAAATAAAATTATCGTATATTGTTATTATGACGGTCCATGGAATAGGTTCTTTCCTTACAAGATTGGGAACGCAAAAACGGCCCTTTTCCGGCCCACCCCACCATTCAAATTGTTAAGCCTGTCATGTGGGGATGTGCCTCAGTTGCACCCAATTATTGTTTCTAATATTGATTTTCGGGTAGGCTGAATTTAAACTTAAACTGCTCTAACTGACCGACGAAAATCCCCATTAATGAAACACCCGGTCGAAGACGGGTTATACTGCTAGTGCCATTATAAGTGTCAATCAAACTCTTATTCAAGTGAGTCTGTCTATCTATCTATCTATCTATCTATCTATCTATCTATCATTGCTTACGTCTATACCATGTTGCAACACCGGTTCTGATACGATCACCGAAGTTAAGCAACATTGAGCTTTCTCAGTAACAAGATGGGTGTCGCTCCCGAATACATGGTGCTGTAAACGTGGATATGCGTAGGTGTAATACTCGGAATTGTAAATCAGATAGTCGAGCTCTAATTCCAATCCTTATATTCACTTATGTGCAAAAACAATTAGGAAAGGAATAAATCCACCTCCTCTCTCGCCAAATATGAGTTAATTAGTAGGCCTTTTATCCTTAGATCATTATTACCTCGCAAAACTTTGAAATAATTTGGAAAGGGTTGATAAGCCGTAAAAAAAAACAAATTGATCTTAATTTGTAATTTTGAGACGTTACATCAGATCTCCGATAAAAAAATATTGATAATCTACTAAAACTGTTCAGCGTACCACCAGAGATATTCTTTTCCAGAGTAGGAAAATAAAAGGTAACCAAATACCTTTATGTGCGCATAGATATACGTACCTGCCTCAATAAGTCCGAAGACTAATGATTATCAAACACCAAATGTTTATTTTCCAATATAATCATATTGAAACAGGTCTTCTGCAAAGAAAGTTGGTTCACTGTAACGAGCCAGGCAGTGATTTTTGTCAGTATCCATCTTGGACATTTCGGACGTTCTACGTTTCGGCCTTCTTTGGGTATTTGGAATTTTGAACTGTTCCCTTTATTTCACCCACCGGTGTAGATTGTTCTAGTCCCACCTGCCATGCGTCAAGGAAACATGCACCCGTGTATAAAGACGTTGGTTAGATCCATTGACTAAACTCAAAGTGTTGTGAGTTCGATACCAGGCCACGGCAGTGGTGAGCCAAACTTGGAGAGTTGAGTTAAAGGGAAATAATTGAGACATCCGGAAGAGGCATGGCACGGAGAACTAGAAAAATATACCCGATTTTAATCTGTTCTCTTTGTAGCGACATAACTCGAAAGAACAACTCAGTGATTCTTATGAAAAATTATGTCAACATGGCTAAGATCTGAAAACCTGGGGTAAACAAACTCTTTAGTGGTTTTTAAATATTAAATATTTTGAGGGATTGATAATTATCGTATGCTGCGATTTGTACAATGTTTCTGTTACACCAGTTATATATATATATATATATATATATATATATATATAATATATATATATATATATATATATATATAGGTAACTCACTTTCTCCGGTTTCTTGATTTGCTAATAATCCAATCAATTTCAAAAGAAAAAAAGGTTTTAAAAAACAAGCTGCACACTCTAATACATATATATATATATATATATATATATATATATATATATATATATATATATATATATTATATGAGTAATTAATTATTAATTATTTTTCAATATTTATTCAGGGATTAAATAATGCTAGTCTATCCTTACTGCATTGCCAAATATTATAACGAGTTATATTCCTTAGTCCCACCAGATCAAGCCTTCACATCTATGCACAGACATGCCATTTTCAAGGCATCAAAACATTCCCTTCGTGTGCCATTTGTTAGTAGTAAATTGTAAGTAGACAGTTTCTTCTCCGGGACTGTGAATATTTTCCAGTAATGTAATGATGCCTCACATTATCTACTAAAAAACAGAAATGAAGTTAAGTTGAATGGAGTGGGTTGAACCATTTAATATTCTTTTTTCTATTTTTGTGCGTCCTACTCCTCTTACCCTGAACATTAAAATAAATGACTCCCACAACAAATATATCCATCAAATTGAGTGGAAATTCATAGGCTTTTTCTCAAATTCCTAGTAACTTTAAAGGTAGATGTAGTTTATGCCTAGAAGAGAAAATTATAATTATTTAAATTTGACAATAAAAATATTTTACTGAATCAATGAAATAGATTGTTTTCCAAATGTCGTCATAGAAGTAAATTGAAACTTATATAATACATTTTAAACCTCGGACAATCCATTATCACTTACCAGTTAATGTTTCTTTTTTTCTTTCATGATCACTCCTTTCAAATTACCTTCTTCCTTTCTGTTTTTTTAGTTGAAGTATAAAGTTAGGTTTATGCAATACTCTTATTTACCCTTATATTATTAATTTTAATTGCTGTAATTTGTTTTATGAATTTTACAATATTTTTTATCTCCCCCTTATAACATTTAATCTATAATCTTTAAATTTTAATTTTAATCTAATTTTTATCCATAATCTATATTAATACATAATTTAACTATATTTGATATAATCTTATTTATAACTTATTCATATTGTACTAATTTGGTCTTATTTATCTATTTAGTTTCTTGTTATTTAATTATTATTTTTATACTTCTATTTTTTATAATTCTATTTAAAAAAAATATTTATTTAATACGCGTTTAATACGAATAGTCTCTTGTTATTTTATTTATTTACTTATACTTTTTTAAAACTTTCATCTGTTATTTAATTAGTATTAATATTCCGTGTTCTGCATTTTAAAAAATCTTTTTTAATTAAACCTTTTTAATTAGCGTTTAGTATAAAATTTCTACATATATATATATATATATATATATATATATATATATATATATATGTGTGTGTGTGTGTGTGTGTGTGTGTGTGTGTGTGTGTG